ATATTTTGAAGTTTGGTTAAAATATGTAATATTTACCAAATGTTGGTTCTAAATCAGTTTTATTGTTGGATTCATGGACTGGTCACTGTCCAGTTATAATTCAAATAAATAGACTAGATTCTGTAGAAAATTTAGTTTTTCTACACAGAATCTGGTCTATTTATTTAAATAACTATTTTTCTAACTATACTCGCAGGAACAACAGGAAAGATAATCATTAGATGTATATGGTTTCTGCCTATGGAAAAATTTTATAAAACATTTCTCGGATACAGTAATGCTTTTGGACTTGGAAATATAATTTCATGCGCGCAATACTATCTTAAAATTGCAACTTTTAACACACTATCAGTTTTCGTCTCCAAGATTTAGAAATTTAGTGGAATGTGCATGGTATAAAAGAGATTATATAGAAGAAAAACCAATAGAATTTGAAACACTTGTTGATTTTGTTTTAAAAAGAAATCAAATAAAACAATGTACGATATTTATGGCGGCATTGATATAATTACTTGCAAGATTTAGAAATTTAGTGAAAAGTGCATGGTATAAAAGTGATTATATAGAATAAAAACCACTAGAATTTGAAACCTGTTGATTTTGTTTTCAAAAGAAATCAAATAAAGCAATGTGCGATATTTATAGCGGCATTGGTACAATTACTTGCACATGATGCAAAAAATCGTTTTATATTCAACATTTCTTTCATGATCATCATATGTGCAATATATGTGATCCATAAGTATTACAAAAACGTTAATCGAAATTGTATATTATTATTGTACACTTTATATTATATTATGTATACTTTGTTAAACAATGTCTCATGTAACCAATTTATTATACGTAATAAATCTATTGATGAAATATTCAATGTCCCATTTTAAATTACGCACCTGAATATCTCGTCAGGAGAGCCACCAATCCGAAAATAACTCTTACAAAAGTTATTGAGTTTGGAGGGAGATTTTAAATTTCATCTTGACCTTGACCTTCAAGGTCATTTGAAGGTCA